GTACTTGAGAGAGGTATCACATGCATGACGCACTCCTTTTATTGGTCAATAGATTGGCTCCCCCCCCCCCCCCCTTTCAACTGGACCAACCCTAGACCCGCAGGTAGGGTATATTCGACGAAGCATGCGTGTGTGCCAGGTCAATACAATAATACACGTAAGGTACGTGCCTGGACTGTGATTATCACAGGGGCTTGATACACGACTGGACACGGGAGCTGCAGGATACGTTGTTAGATCCTCGGCAACTATTATGCCAAGTACCGGGTACGAAAGTTGTTTGTCTGTGGATGAACAGCAATCTGGGGATAATGCATAGTGCTTACCGCACCAGTTTACTTACAAGTGTACCACAAATACATGAAGCAAAGTTCCACACTCTTATATTAAAAATAACCAAGTTTTAATACCAAAAATGTATTTTAATAATCTGATATTGTGTTAAATATATTTATTACTTGATGATTTCTGAGCCTACGTTTGTTGTTTGTTTATTTGTTTGTACATGTTTGTTTTCTTGAAAAGCAAATCAGTAAAAATAAGCATTCCAAACTTGCCATTAAAAACATAAGAGTCAAACAGTGAAAAACTTAAAACAAACACAATGAAATAAAATAAAAGTAATAATTAATTGTAAAATAAAAAAATTAAGACTGTGAACAAAAGCTAAATTCCGCAAACTGCAGTTTGGGCAGTCAGCATGTACAAGTCATTCTATTTAAATAAACAAATACAAGAAACCATTTAGCAATGTTGATCTGAGATGAAGCAGCATGAAAAATCAAAGAGATAATTTCCTCTCTTGAAATATTAACCGATCAATCTCAGCGGGGCCTCTCAAATTCGCCACACCGGCCGGCCGGAAAGTCACGAACCCGACACTCTCGGCGGGCTGCATTAAGGAACGTGCAAACACGCCACGTGAGTGTCACAGCCCGGCCCGGTAATGGCATTTTAAACATCTCTTTTGGACGGAATTGCGACACCGTCCACCCAGGTCACATCTGCGGGAATGGCTTATCAACGATGGAATCAATAATTAAGCAGGCATAATCACGTCCTGCTAAATTACGACATGTGAAGCGACAAACAGGGGTTTCGGGGGGGGGGGTGCCAACTGATGAGAGAAAACATCCAGTGAGTGTACCGATGAGGTACAAGTAGTAGATCTCGCTGTATTGATCTCCGGGGATTATTTATTGAAGCAGCCTAATGAGGGGTACAGGTTGTTGGAAATTACAGTACAATTACGGTACAAGTCTTGTCAGAATGACATATTACATACATGGACCGGGGTGGCTTGCGGAATTGCTTTGGCAGGAATCTGTTCTACTCTTGTACAATTCTTGAGAGAATTCAGCAAGCTCAGTTATAATTATGGCACATGTTGAATGTAGCGAAAAAGCTGTTTTTTTGTTAGGGTACAAATCTTAAGACAGAATGTTGTTCCTACAGTATCACAAACAATAAGAGCAACTAATTTCTTGGGTATTTGGGGGAGGGAGGGATGCCCTTTACATGTACGTTTGTTTTTTGAGGGAAAACAATAAGTTTGCAATGAAGAAATAATATCCAGTATTTACAACAAAATAAAGCCTAGTTGTGCCTAATTGTTAGGGGAATACAGCGTAAACAGAGTTTTGATGCCTAAATGTACCGTTACATGTAAGAAAAGACTATTTGGAGTGTGGTTTGGGGCCCTCTTTCTCACACCCAAGGAAGCCCTTTGTGTCAGTAATAAAATGCAGAAGAAGCCCATCTTCTTCTCAGGCTTTCAATCATTTAAACTGAAGATAAACAAGCTAGTAAAAAATTAATTCAGTACAAATTGTACTGATATGTTGGGCAAACTGAGTTCTGATCACAACTGCCTCATAGCCCATTATAAAGGGGTAAACTCCAGTCACACAAAACTGGATAAATGTGACATTATTCCGAATTCTTAAAATGTATTTTTTGAGCATGCACAGACCCATACATGTATGGCAATCAGTGGCGGACCCAGGGGGTAAGGAGGAGATCCCCCCCCCCCCCCGGCTGTGACCAAAATTGTCTCAAATAAAGCCATTTTTCACTAACAAATGAAAGCCCCCCCCCCCCCCCCCGGCAGGGAGCTCCCTGGGTACATGTATTGCTCCATTGACCAGAGGTATTACTGAATGAATGAACAATACACATGTATGTAGTCCTGACGACTTTTGATCGTGACTAGTCAATAACAAGTTGACTAGTCACAACTACCAGTAGTCATAAGTCGACTAGTCACAACTTTGTATCGCAACTAGTCAACTGTTGAAATTCAATATTAGGTTTTGCCCTTCTAGTCACCCACGCCTTTTCCTGGATGTCAAAACAAGGAATCAGCTCATCGACGGAAAAGTTGAAAGCCTGAACATTTGGTACATGTACCTGGCTTCTGAGTAGTTGCAAAAAAGCAAACAAAGCAAAACAAAAACCCAAATCCCCACAAATTTAGACATCTGGAGAACTGAAACAACAATCTACCGAAAAAGACTTACTAAAAAAGGAATATTATCTGTCATCTAGGAACAACCTTACCCACAGGGAATCTACCGCTCCAGGCAAAGCAAAAGCAAAGGTCATGTTTGCTCTGATTCGTCTTGCACGCCGCGACAAACGTGATGGATAGGGTATCTCATTAGATCGCTATCGGAACTGCGTCGGTACAGAAATAACCATTTGTTTTACCAATTTACAAAGTGTATAATTCAGATCTTTAATTAGCCCCAGTGATACGGATGATCCTGGGGGGAAAATAGTCATTGTGCGTCATTAAATGGAGAGGTTCTCTCTCAATTTTTTTTTAGTTGTCCTTAGGAGGTTTTTTTTTTTAGATTAAAGTTCATTTGTATGGAGGAAAGGTAGACGTAAATGCACGACAGCTGTACAGCCTACAGCCAGGCGCTTTGAGGTATTTACATAAAGCGCCATGATGTTTGCTATCGGTAGTTTTATTGTTATGACATTTGTATGTTCTATGCTTCTTATTCTCCCATGACTTGCATGTTGTTTGTCTGTGTCTACCCGATGTTCCCCAATACCGATGTTTTGAATTAGTTGAGGGATTTAATAATACTAAGTACTCCTAGTATTTTTGTGAAAAAAAACAACCTTATATAAGGCCAAAAAAAGAGGCTACGGTTTCTGGTATGCCGTAGCCATGCGCAAAATGATTTTTTATTTTTTTTTTCCAATGTAAGATGATGTCTCAAAACCGCCAAACTCACTTTGTTTGACTTGAATCCTGCTGCTGCACAATTTTAACGTGTTTTTAGATGGGGTTATGATCGAGTGCTTTATGTGGCCTCTCTGCCCCCATATATTTTGCACTAAATTTAGTCGGGCACCATTTGCAGTCATCAGCCGACATTTGAAGGAAAAAAAAGTAAAAAAAAAAAAAAAGCCGCGTCGCCGCACAACTTTTGGGGCAAGCTCCATACCGGAACCGAAGACTCTTTTTTTGGCCTAAAAGGCCTTTTTTTTCAGATGGTTGGGGACACCCAATGTACATGACTGATAATAGAAAAAAAAGTAGTTTTTTAGTCAAATACAATATACAATTTAAAAAAAAAATTGAGAAAAGAATCATATTTCTTGTGAAGCATGCAGAGAGTACAATTTTGTTTTCATAAATCGCTTTAATTTTCCAACATGGATTGAAATCTTATACCATTGTTTTTGACAGTTTTATGTGCTAGCTGCACTGTAAAACGCTACCAGATCAATTTCAGGCATGCACAACCCTCGTATCATCTGCCTCTCTTAGAAGAATGTCTTAATGTTATTACGCACCTCGTTGGGTCGAGACAAAGGATTGTATTTCATTGGCCGGGGACCAACACTAAGTTCTTGTAGTCAGTAGTGGTCATCTTGCGGAAAGCAATACTGGTAAAGAAGGTTGAACATGTACAACATGTACATGTACAGTGTACACGTATAACGTGTACATGTTTGTGTGTTCTACATGGTACCACTGCAATGCAATTCTATATGGAATTCACATAAAGTTTCTTCATTTCAAGAAAATACACTGCAAACGAATATTTAGACAAAAAGAAATTTGAAATTCATTTGCACACACAAAAATACATGTAAATCGATGTGTAGGAATGGCTTTAAATCTTTGTAACCATTTAGGCCTACAAAAAGGCCAATTTTTTACATGTACAGTATGTAAGTCTGATCTACTAGACGATTAACAGATGAAAACAATGAATACATTGTGATCAACAAACCGAAAACGAATAATCAAGGTTGTGAAAGCAATTGAGCAGTATTGCTGTACATTCCATGGTTAGGCCATGGGTTACTCAGCACTATATTGGCAATCTCCTAATTTGTCAATTTCTGAGCAAAGACATTGAAAAAAAAGGCTGGACATAGTTAGTAGGGCACAGCTGGTACTTCGTACTGTACCGGTACACGTACCTTTACTTGATCCATAGATTGCGGCTAAAATCCAATCTAAATCAATTTTTTCCAATCTAACAGTGAACCTACATTGTACATACATGTATGTACACATACATAAATGTTCTTTGTGGTTGATGACGAGGCTATACCTTGCCCGCTCCATGGGGAGACGGTGTCGCCACCTGTCGCCCACTTTACAGGCGAGTTGCCAGCTTCATGTGCAAGTCGCCTGGTTTGTGGGCAATCGCACACTTGGCCAGCTTTGCACGCAAAAAAATGTACATGTAGCAACTTGTGAACACTCACACGCATCCTGTATAATTTGATAAAGTGATGGGCATGGGACTAATGGCAGTGACGCTTCAATGTAAAAGTGTGTTTGAAGTACAATGTACATTATCTTCAGGTCCAACATTGATGCTCAGTAGAGATTCATTCACAAATGCACTGTGCAGAAGGGTGATGAGCACCAGCCAGCAATAAAAATTCCCACAGAATTTTGGCTGGTAACCCTGCACACACACACCCACACACAAACTGGGCCTTCATTTAAGCATTTTGTTTACCTCAGCGGTTGGGTCTTTCACTAACATGACGGAACATCGCTCGCACTTGAGCAGCGACTGGGCGCGCTGCATGATCTTCTGCACCACATTGTCCAGGCACGTTTGCTCCTCAAACAAGTCGTGCGCAACCTCCAGAAGTTTCTGTGGAGAGACAAGTCCAGACAGGAGTGAGGAGAATGCGTACAGGCGTCTAGTCTTTCTGGGGTCAACCAAACCTCGAGTTATTTTTTCTTCTTTGGTTTCTGCGTCAGGCTCTGGTTTCATTATTTACGGTCCCTCGGACTTGGGCTTTCATGGTGATCCATGGATGCACTTCCGGCTTGAAAAACATCCATCCCTAAATTATGAATACAAATTTGCAGCATTTCCATTTCATTTAGGTATTACATTAAAAAAGAATTCCAGTTAAAATCAGTTTGATTATTTTTTACACTAATTATGAGATTAATGATAAAACTTTCAAAGGCTACACATTAAAATGAGTGGTGGGGTCCCCCCCCCAAAAAAAAACCCACAAATCTTCTAAACATGCCAAACCCTTCTAATGATGATGCAGCCAGAGATGCTATCAACCCCAGAGATGCTTGCAATTTTACAAGCCAGGCCAGATTAAGGAGAGCATCAGGCACTGATAAGACGGTTGGGGAGAAAATTAATGTCAGTAAGATGCTGTTATTTAATAGTGCCATCAAATTTGGGAGTACGGAACACCAAACATCCATGTGTAAACCCTTAGTGGTGTAAATTAATGCTAAATACATGTAATTTACTCTTCAAAAACCTTCTTATTCCTTGCAGCTCAAGAGTAAACCCACAAGGGATTTTAACTGGATTAGTCTGCAAACCTAAAAAAAGGAACCTGGTTATGAAAATCAAATTCAAAAGCATGTATAATTTTGACTTGGCTCCAGACCCTCATCGTAATGGATTTTCATACCACTACACACACCTCAGCTCTCAAAACATTTTGAAGCACAACAAAAGGCCGTACTCCGTGTCGAGGCGCCGCGGCACAGAAATTAGTCCGACCCGCAAGAGAGCGGGCACAAGGGAAACCGCTTTTAGCATCCAAACCACTTGTGCATTTTCTTCCATTATCGGCGTTCCCGCCGCTTGCGCGGCGGCCTAATGATTAAGCGTGCCTCCCGGTTCCCAGGTGGCAACTCCAGGCCATCACGGTTGCCCCGGCCAGCCAGCCGGCCTCCCTAGCTGTGAAACATAAGCCCACCGACCAAAGAGCCGGCTATGGTAAATTTTGGGGGGACCGATACAAGTGCCGGCGGAAACCACTCCTCAGGGAGTGCAAAGTGGAAATAGCTGGCCAGCTCTTTATTGAACTAGGGCTCAGGGTAAGTATTATAAGTAGGCCTATGAAGCCTACAGGTAAAGTGTGTTTATTGAGAAAAGAATATCTCAAATGCGGTCAGCCTTGCAGCCTGCCAGTTGCCCAATCTGCTTGCCAGTTTGTTTTCGTACTTGATCAATCAATTTTTTTCATTATCAATGAACGACAACATTCTGTTAGCCCACATGGATATAAAATAAATTGCTTCACGACTCCCTTTGTGAGTTCTTTTATAAACCAGATTTGTTTTTCTAATGTCAATAATCAAACTGACGCTCAAGGGTGCAATCTTTTCAAAGAGCTAATAATTTCACTGTGCAGCAGTAAGCACAGCCTATTTCATGTCATGTACTGTATATTTTAGGTTTCAGGGAATATATTTGCTAATATTTTTTCTGAAAGGCCAGATAAGTTTTACCATTTTGGCACTTGACACTTTTGTACACCTGTACGACAGTACATGATTGATTGACTGATCTACATGCACAGAATGTGTGGAGGAATTTACTGAACATTGCCAATAATTTGGTACTTTATTTACGAAAAGCCCAAACTTACCCTGTTCCTGTCATATTCCTTCATATACGTATCAAAAAGTTGGGCGTTGTTGATTCCTATCCCACAGAAGGTCAGGTATGTTTCTATCAACTGCAAGGAACAAGACGTGAAATAGAAATTTGAAACAGTACTAGTATGATCATTGAAAAATCAGGTATACACTTTGGCGAGATTATTAAGTTTTGTGCAAGGAAATTTAAATTTGAATGTTAGTATGAAACTCAAACACTACTATTTCCTAATTTTGTGTCCTAACATGTTAGGTTTAATATTCAATATTAGGCTTTGCCCTTCAGCGACGTATCCCCCCCCCCCTCCTCCCCCAAGTGAAAGTGAGAAAACAATTCATCTTATCACTAGTTTCATTGCAGTACCTGATGCTACATCAGATTTGAACCAGACAACCGATCCCGCAAGCTTGGTGGTCGAGTTATAAGACGTCTTCACTAGAAAGCAGGAGGTTATGGGTTCAAGTTCCACCCGAGAGATTTTTTCTCACTTTCTGTTTCACTCAGGAGGTAACACACTGAGTATATAGTGTTTAAACGTCAGTGAAGGGCAAAACCTTAGATTTAATGGCAAGTTTGCAATGATTTAAATAAAATAAAAACAAACATACAAACAAACAAATGTAGGCCAAAGCGTGACATCACTCATGTTTCAGGCTTATTCCAGCTGTTTCAATCAGAGAAAAATGCACCTCAGTGAACATTATTATGTGGACAAAAACAGTCCATACTCCATGTAGGAGTAGGACACGATCCGTGATTGCATGCGTGCAACTGTTTTGGGCTGGAACAATTATCACAGGGCGACCGACCAATGAAAAGGGCAAGTAAATTGGGGCACATCGATTTCAAAATCAAATCAATGGTTTGAACGGCCAGAGTACAGTGACTGGAGATAATTACACCATGTTTGGCAGTAATGAGTCTCATGTGTCATGTACGTGCACATGCAAAGTTCAGGCACTCTTATTAATATTATGTATGCTGACTTTCTATTAAAATGTTTTTCAAGAACACATCACGACGGACGCATATCAGGTTGGTTGTTGTGTAGGCCTAAATAAAATATCAAGGAAAAATTGGAATGTTTTTTATAATGTTAATGCAAGGGCTTTCTGCATATTACTTTGTATGTATAGCGTCATCAGACCCCTTAAAACTATGCGAGCCTTCTTCTATGCACTTGCCTTTAATTTGTGTTGGCAACGCGCGCACGTTGCAAAGCATGCGCAGACTTATGGAGGACCAAGGATGCACCCAGCATCTCCATGCCATGGTCTCCAAAAATTAAAAAGACAATGTCCAAGATTTATAACTTTGTTTTTACATTTTCATGTATTTCATTTTCCACAACTTGAACTGTCATTCCTTTCACACATTTCCACCAAATACGTACAGTAGGTAGTATTATACAACACCTGAATAAATCCCTGTCATCTGATTGGTGGATTGTTGATCACGTCATTGGATTATTCGTCCCAATGCAAGGCGCGCGGGTGGCGCGCAGCGCACAGTGCAATGGAACTTTTGGAAGTTCTATTGCACAGTGAATAGAACTTCCATTGCACGGTGTCACTGCTGCCGGTGGTGGCGCTGTTTTAAATCAAGATAAATTGAATGGTAATCCTTACTTTTAGGACACCTCTATTTTGTACGAGTTCTGTTCAAAACAGACTTTTGCAGATGACTGTCCAGTACCAAAGTGACTTTTGCAGGCTAAAGAAGTCTTTTTTCTTCAGACAAACTCATGTTAGTTATAATTTTGAAAGCACTTTCAAAGAAAATGTGACTTTCCTACCTTTTTGGCAGTTCGCCATCTTGCTTTTTAAATATATTTTCTGTTTGTCATCGTCGTCTTTAACCCCTCATAAATCGAAACCCTGCCCTCTTTCTACAAAATCAAACCTGCTGATATTCAAGAGGTGTCATTGCCAAATGTTCAAATGTGTCAATAAATATCAGAATGTCACTTTTGAGTGTCATTTAGTCAGCTGTTTTGGTGAGTCTTTTAACCTTATATAGGAAAGGGGTCCTAAAAGTAAGGATTACCAATTGAATATGAATTAATGATTGTTCTCAACCTGTTGAACAGTTTGCATACATCTGTACATTAAATATGATGAACTTGTCGAACTTTTAAACAGTTTTTCGCCCGAATAAATTGGCTATTAAAACTTATAAAAGTCAATCAACCTCGTGGAATGGAACATTTCATCTGTCTACCTCATGAAATTATTCTTACCCTTGCACTCACAAACATTCATTATTTGTATACAGTGTACCATCATGCCGTCCATATATGTACGTACCCCACGGCGCTCAGCCTCTGGCCTCCGTGCAAGTTGCACCACGGAGGGAGGGTTGCACTGCATGCATACGACTGTAGTTGTGCGGACATTCTGACATTGGCGGATGAAGTTGACGAAGCATGCATTTCTCTAATAACCCCCCCCCCCCCCCCCCACACACACACACACACACACACACACACACATACAATTCAGATTGTTTATAACAAAGCCAGACATACAGTAGTTTACTAAAACATGATGAATCATGGATTCATGGTAGATTTTTGCCGCATGAACAAAATTAAAACTCGCGCTGCAGCTGCAACACCGTCTCACCTTTTCATCGTGCTCGGTGAACCTTGACCCCGAGACCTTGTTGGTGACCTGACACACACCGATGATGTCATCATCGCTGTTCCTGATTGGCAGACACAACACGGACCGAACTTGTAGACCAATCAGCGTCTCGACGTCTTTGGGCACCTGTTGGAGAAACAGGTTACTTTTTCAGTACCTGAAAAGCAGACCCTCAAGGCCCTTATTAGACCCTACGGTAAAATTGAATTTACACGGCGCACTTGGCATGATCCGTGGCGGATCGATTCAGGATTTTCCATTTTTCGTGGTTGGATTGTTGAAGTCCAAAATTTGTCGGGGGGGGGGGGGATTGGATTAGGCGTTGCAGTCAACGCATAAAAAAACCAAAAGGTCTGAAGCAATCAATCAAAATTTGCAATATTGAGTGATGACGTTATTCAGGAAAAGAAAAGCGAAAATTGACAGTCGGGAAGGTGGGGGTTTGGGTGGGGTTGGGTGGGATGATGAAGGCCACCCCATACATCTCCCCTAGAATCCGTCTTTGGACTTTACCTTTAATGATGTATTTTTCTTCAACATCAAATTAATGTGAACTTTCACCAATTCAATTTTGATAATGGTTTAAAGGAAGCTCCTTCCGTATATAGTATACAATACCGGGTAGGCCCCCATTTTTTTAAGCGTAAGCACAGAGGAGTAATAATAATAATAAACGGTGCTTATAAAGCGCATTTTACACAACGTCCCAATGCGCTGTTTTGCAGTTTTTCATTTGGCAAATTTCGATTTTTATTCATGCCTGCAAACATGTTGCGTGACGGAATCGCTATCCAATGAATAATGTAAACCTTTGGAACAAAACACATTTCATTTAAACAAAATGAATTAAGATGAACGAAAACATATGGTTACAAGCGACGAACCTTTTCATTCAACAAAAAATAAATTAAAACAAAGCCAAACGGTAACTCATTATTGACATCGAGAAAAGCATTTTTTTTCCCAACAGTACCCTCCCTTTAAAAACAATCATCAGTTATAGATGACTCCCCCGACTTGCAACCATTTCCAAATTGTTTACAAATTAATTCCGAATTATTGCCAAATTTTATGAAGAATAAACCCCTCCTTTTCGAGCCGTAAATATGTCCACTTTACCCTGGTCTGTCGCAATTGCCACGCACATTGTAATCATCGTCTTTGATTCCACATCAGAATGTAATATTGGGCCACTTGTTGTAATGGCATGAGTCTTTTTTCTCCTTCAAATTTACGAGGTGACTCGATAGGGCCAATATTGCGGGCACTTCACCACCGCGCGAGCAGCATCAAGTTATTCGGTCTCCTTTCCCCTGCCCTCGCCCCTCGACAGCCATCAACTTGTCAGGCTTGACATTTTCATTTTCGAGAAAAAGATGCCACAACTTCAAGGATACATTTCTTCACCCGGGCAGTTGTTGAAGGTGAGATAAACAACTGCGGGTGAAACAAAAGGAAGAGGGGGCGAGGGTAGGGTAATCATAGGACGGGGTATGAACTTGACATTTGAAGGTTGCGAGATTCTGCTGAATGCCTGTTCCGACTTGGTGGGGTTAACATGTAACACACCCAACGGCTAAGGCATTGCTAATGTCTTGCCCAGGGTATCTGTTGCATAAAGTATGTTATTGGACGACTTGAAGAGTGGACATTTACGGTTCGATTTACTTTGGGGCGTTGCTCTAGGTTTCTGCATCATAACGAACGTGTGGATCATCGTAGAATTGTACTCTCTAAATTCCAAAGAGTAAATCTAGGAACCAGAAAAATGAAAATAACTCTAATTTTAGATTGAAATACACTGCCCAAAAATTATCAATCTAGTGGAAACTCAAGTAAAAACCCGATATATTCGATTGAATGAATAAAACGTATAGTTTCAGTCGATGGGGGTAAATTGTCACGTCCACTCGAATAAAATTAAATGTTACTCTTTGGACATCAGAGAGTATCTAGCAAGTCTAGGTTGTTTTCCCGAGGTTTATTTTTGTTGATCATTCGCACTCAAGAGATGTTTCAGAAGCAAAACCTCTTTTACAAAAAAAAGAACAACAACTCCTGCAAAAGTAATTATTTTGAAAAGGGACCGAGGCGCAAAAGGAGCTCCCATGAGGGCGCACTTTGAAGAGTTTGCGACGGTAATTGCACACCAGTTGGGTCAAGGATATTAATTAAGCCAATTTGATTCTGGAATGTCTTGCGCCTGCGCAATCAAATTTAAGTGCAAACAACTTCTTAATAAGAAATCGAGCGAAGAAAATCGGCCATCATTTGGTCTTAGAATGACTTTTTCACAAATTCAGTTATGTTATTGTCCGTTTAAAAAGTCTGAAAATTGGATGAAATGTCTGAAAGATGCATTTTTTTCTATACTGATAATGCTTTCTCACAGATTCAAAAAGTCTGAAAAATCTCATGTCCGCGAATTTGATTCCCACCTTTTACTTCCTGTAATTTCCTAGATTATTTTTTACTGATATTCAATCGTAACATACACGCTGTTACTTCACTTCAAAATATATGGGATATTACTCGTCTTATTTTCCATGGTCATGTAGAAAGGGATACGCTATTTACATTAGATTTGCTGCGCTTAATCGAGGTCATTTTTCACGCATCCCATATTTATGTTTTAAAATGCACTTTAAAATGCACGCCCTGCCAGATAAAACGAAGTGTCTCGGCCAAAACATTAGAGAGACAGAGAGGAACTATAGTCTTTGACAATAAGACTCCGACTCTCAATTGATGAAGTTGAAAATGAATTCTGATTCCTTTGCCCCCGCGCCGCCCCTTCCCTCTCAAGTCCGTGCCTCTCTGTCTCCACAGTCTTAAGTCACCGTCTCGACTGAAGAGGAGGCAGCCAAGTTAATTATCTTGTTCCCTTTTTGGGGAGTCCTCTGTCGTTCATCAAAAACCGGCCACGCTTCGAAGCCTCATTGCACGGGTTCTGGATGAGGCAAACCTTTCCATTATGGGGTTTTTTCTACATGCATGAAAGTCGTTACGCGATAGATTCGCGCGATCAAATAAACTTCACCGCATTTTTTTAAAGGGCCATGCAATGTAATTTTATTAATGCATTCCTTGAAAATGCACCTTTTGTGTCCCATCTAACCTTATTTTCAATTTTCGTTTTGCCATTTTCAAGGGTATTTTTGGTGCGTTTTTTGGTTTTTATGCTAAGAAATTTCCATATTCATGAGCAAAACTGTGATGTCATTCCTGACAGAAACCTCAACGCTTTTTCAGCACAAAAAGTTGCTAGAATTTTGGATATTTTGCTGTCGTATTTTTTTCTGTGGTGATTCGTTGTTGTTGTGTCAGTATACTTGGCAGTAAGCAAACTTTTCTCAAAATTAGCAAAAGTTTGATTCACAATATGAACAGAGAACTGTGCATGTGTTCCTGAAATGACATCACAGCAACAACGCCCTCAGTTGTCCGGAAAAGCATGGAAAATTGTAAATGTTTCAAGACATACACTTATCAATAAAGTTAACCAAAAAAGGGATGTCAAATAGTTTTCACACATTTAAGAGGAGTAGATGGTTGCACAAAATGTGTTCCTAAGAAAAATCCATCGAATGAGTCCTTTAATGTCCGACAACGTCCGAGATATACTGTAAGCGGATACAACCATTTTTTTTCTCCTACCCGCTCTTTCTTTCAGGTTTTGCGCGCTGCCTCCGTAATTGATCGACGAGTGATGTGACGATTTCAAAGTCTACCCGTCCCTCCTTTCATTGGTATTGGATTTCCTCAGTGTCGACACGAGGAAGTATCGGGAGAAGCATTGCGAACACTCATGAGTGCATGCGATGGTCTTTGGTCAAGCTTTGGTCATGCTTCAAATGCTGGTTCCGGTAAAATGTTGGTAAAATGCCGACATTGTGTCGGCTGACCGCCATTTAGCACCGATAAAACCAACTTTAGTTGTGGATTACCTTTTTCTATAAAATTATGGTATTAAGATTCACGATTCTTGAGATTGATATTAAATATGGTTAAAACATTGCTAAAACAATGCGGCCAGAATTAAAATCATACTAATTTACGAAGGACACTTGCATGCAATTACCGGGAAACGATTTAACGAGAAAAACCTTGTGAATATATAGAACATGGTACCCTGTGAATTATTCATTCGGAAGAAAACATGAAGGTGTTCAAGAAAGTGTGCCTGCGAGCACATTTGTGTTGTGTCTACGTGCGGGCAACGGAATCCATTGACGAGATACCAAAACTTGTACATACGTTTTCTCTGCAGAGTGTTTTCAAAACGTACATGCAGACTAAATTATCCACTGAGCTGAAACTTCAACAAGTTATAGTTGTAATGTTATGTACCTTTTTAAATTTGAGCAATAATATTTCGTTGCTCAAAACGCAAAAAAAGCAAATGATCCTATGGACCTTTAGCTGTGAATTATGAGTTGTGATGCCAGCTTCAGATGCAGTTCATATAACTTATAAAACACAATTTCTCTGAAGGGCAAAACCTAATTTGATTCACAATTTCTAACAGGATAAACATCTTCTTGACGAACAAGTGAGTTCTCAGCGCAACTTGCGATATATTGTTTGGCAATTTCATATTTAGCTTGTTTTATCAAAGCCTTTGTATGTATAGCCATATTGCTTTGACACTCTGTGAATCCACGATGAAACGAAATACGTACTATAGGATCATTTGCATTTATCCCAAAAGTAACCTACCGAATTGTTATCAAAAAACATACTTGGATTAAAGTTTGTATTGGTGCTAAACACCCCATGAAGTTCCGTATGGCTTGCTGTCATTAAGAAGAAATTAAAAATGCAGATGATTTCCAAGGATCAGTCAACTGACTGATTTTTGGAAATAAAGAGTGCTATAGACCGCTTGCAGACGCGTTCGATAATTGACGCGCTAAGGTGAGCGACGCCATGTTATGGGACAAAATGTGCGTGAATTGATATACGCCTGTCCCACAACATGGCGTCGCGCGCCTTCGCGCGTCGATTATCGAACGCGTCTGCAAGCGGTCAATAGACGAAATCGTGTTGCGTGATCAAAAGGTTGTGCTTTTTTTTTTGTCTCTCGAAAATTGTAATATTCACTGACCTGAAAGTTCAACAGGTTA